CCCCCCCCCCCCCCCCCCCCCCCCCCCCCCCCCCCCCCCCCCCCCCCCCCCCCCCCCGGCGCCCCCCCCCCGTTATGTCACGCACTAGAGTCGTGCCATAAGGGAGAAGATCATAGTTGAGCTTAGCGCAAGACTATGGTCAAGGTTATTGCGCAAGAATATTCAAGGTTATTGCATAGAGTATAGCCAAGATTATTGCCAGTATAAATAGATTGAGTTTATTGTTAAAGGGTAACTTTTTACTTGTAAATAAACGTTAGGTGAGAAAGATCTTAGTTCTCACGGGAACCTAATAACGGCACCGTTAGTGACTTTTGGCCAACTGTTATACCAAACAGACGATTACGAAAAAGCTGAATACTAATATGAACTTCTTATAAATGTTCTTGTATTCGAGAATCCATACCGTACGTTAATTGATGAAAGAATGACCGATATAAGAAACGAAAGAAGTAAGCAGATAAAGATGGGATAGGATTAGTGAGTGTGTAAGAAACAATGGTTTAGACGAAAAAATACATGTCTGTACCTTAAATGAACTGCTGATACATATTGTAGACTGCACCTAAGTTCTTTCATGGTAAAAACACAGAAACATTATCCGTCAGTATGCCGAAATATCACTCTTCAGTAGTAATATCGAAAAAAGTGATTGTTCGCACTTTCAACCACATTAAAGCAGTTATTGAACGGAGAAGAATTGCTTCTACTTCTGCACCAAAACAAACTGATATTTAATTAATACTAGAAGAAAAGTTCGAGAAAACTGAAGTAAGCTAAAGAAATGTATGGAAAATTAGGTATAAAGTTTACTGTAATTGACCACACGCCTGCTTGAGCAGGCTAGTCTATACCTTGTTTGATCGCTCGGGTCAAAACTTTTTCAGACTTCCGTTTTCTCTATGACTTTTGGCAGATGTTCAGCCCAGCATTTTTTCTATTTCAAATTCTTTTGACGTTTTTTATGTTCTTGTTCTGTGCGTGCGTGAAGTAAAATAAAAAGACAATCGTGTTTCATCAGCTATCGGTTCTTTTTCTTTGTTAAAAAACATCTTTCTTAAAGAAAAAAATAACAGTTTTACAAGAACAACACAACAAAACAGTAGAAAAAAGTGAACTTCTTTTGTGGAAGTAGTAGTCAGCAAGAAAACACAACTTCTTTAACTGTTCTACCCTCTGGCATGGTGCTCAATACTTTCTCAAGTTTAACAGAACGATAGAAACTAAAACTGCAGGTCCTCTGTGAATATGTGTACCATGTTTTATAAATTTTTGAAACGGGCTTAGAAAACACAAACAATTTTGAGCGCTCAGCCTTTCTATTGTCAAAGAAACGAACAGCTTTGCCTCTTTCGAGATTTTAAATCTATAAGCCACCCCGAGAATTTTAAGCAAATATGTTTTTTAAAAAGAGAAATACTAAAAGAAAAATGTCACAAAAAAATGTTTTGCATAAGTTTCGTTTAAACGATATTCAGTTGGTCTGAAGCAGCTACTGCTGTTGTCTTCTTCTGTCTGTAAGCTTCAATTTCTTCTAAAAGCATTGGCATTGCCAGATAAAACGGATGCCTTGTAAAATCAATATATTTTAAATCCGCCGTTAGAAAACCCAGCCAACCTGTAGGACGAAATTCCTTCATCACAATCAGTGGGATCAGTGTACGTCTACATTGTTTAGCATATTTTGCTTCCTGCTCACAATTTCCGCTATCCATGTAAGTCTTTGACATGCAAATAATCACAAAGTCAGAATTTTCAATTGCTTCAGTCATACCATCGGTTTGTTTTCCATGCAAGTTGGTTTTATCTATCCAAATATGAAAGCCATGTTTTAATAGTTGATCATATTGAAAAGCATAAGGTTTTATCATTATGTGAATAGCTTATCATTATATCAAATTTTAAACTTCTTTGAAGACAATTTAACCTTCTTGGTAGCACAGGCAAATGACGCGGAGGCGGTACTTTAGGGGGGATTTCAGTTAGAGCTTGTGACATGTCTTCCAGCGTAAACCGCTCCTGATTACTTCGCTCTGCAAGAGATTGGACGATGCTCATATTCTCCTGGAAATTAGTGGACATGTTGATATAGGGAATTTAAAGATCGTACTCTGACATCCATCGTGATGGATTATAGTACTTGTTACTATCCACCACTAAGGGAATGATAGGACGTCGTGAGGTGACCGTAATCATATGTACCAGTCTTGCGTTGGAATCTTTCTTTTTCTCATACGCATTTGACAGACAAATTATCACCTGATTTGCGTTTTCAATCCAATTCTCCTGCTTGGCCCACAAGTTTATGGTATCTTGATTGATGTAGCACAGCTCTGTCGCTCTTACAGTCGAATCTTGACCATTTTTCAAACTAGATTCAATTCGCCTAGCCAAATACACATCTTCGGGTGCATAGCTAATAATTGTATTATATTCCCTTGACATTTCTCGAAGTAGTTACCGCCAGAATAGGTAACTACGCACGGCTCAAGTTACGAATATTATGACAATCAACATAACAGAAAAACATTTGCATTTGAAAAACTAGCCTCTAAGTTTCTAACATATTTCGCTTACATTATAATAAAACAAAAATACAAAAAGAACAAATTATTTCTATGCGGCATTAGATGCTTTATGATTTATAGAATAAACAATGAGAAGAAAGTGCTTTTCTTTTAATGTTATCAAACCTATACTTCTTCTCATTGTAAACGATAGAACAGCAGAAAAACAAGACAACTGACTGACTGAGGTAAACATTTGCATGCACAGTGTTTGGCTGAGGTGAGGGTATAAAGGCGCAAACCAATGACAACATAACAGTTTTCTCAGCAAAAGTGACGGAGACATTCGATCTAAATACACTTTCATATTCTATTTACTCAGATTTAAATAAAATTTTACACTCAGAGAATTCCTGAACGAGTACATGGGCTCGTATTTTATGGAACTAGAGCACATCGAAATACGATGTGCTCTAGTGACGTGCTAGCAGAAGGATTTTATGCGCTAATTATAAGTACTCGAACTGTTAAGAGGAGAGGGAGGGGGCTGTTCGAGAGAGAGAGGGGCTATTCGAAGCTGGAGAAAAGTATCTAATAGCTGCAGTGTAAGAAGCCTACAGACAACGCGGCTATCACACCAAAGCATTTTTTATTGAACAAATGCAGTTCAGAGATTCACATAACTTTACTTCCGTTTGGCAAAAAAGCAAAAAAGCTTCTAATAGTCCTTCTCTCTCTTTCTCTCTTCTTAGAGACTAGTTTCTCAAATGCAAATGTTTTTCTGTTATGTTGATTGTCATAATATTCGTAACTTGAACCGTGCGTAGTTACCTATTCTGGCGGTAACTACTTCGAGAAATGCCAAGGGAATATAATACAACGTTTTTGTACAATTGACCGTCAAAAAATTGTTTCGCATAACAAAGCTCTGTTGTTAGAAGTCATGATAAATTGTTTATCAGTGAACACTCGACGAATTTTTACTTAAGGCGATATAATTAACTATCATTGATTTATTCGTTAGAATAGGACTGTAGAGGCGCTCGTCTTTCATTGTATGGCTTACCGAAGTAAGAAAACGAACATATTGCGTCGATTTATAGTGCTTGTTTGTCATGCATGACAATGACGCACGTTTTTTCTTCAACTGGCTGTGCGCAATTTGAGCATATAAATCATAAAATATCATCTGTATTTCTGTTTTTATAAAAAAATAATTACTAATAGTATCACTACATACGCGACGAATATAGTAGGTAGAGTAAAAATATTCATCAATTATTAGTGTTAAAAGACTTCTAACCAATAGTATGCTCACGAGAAATGCTGATGCTGATTGTCTTATGGTGGTTGTTTTCTACATTGATATTTGTTTCCGTTGTTGAAATGTCTTCCAAATATGACTTATGTCAGTAGAGGACACCTCCTATATCCCGATCAGGTATAGAAAAAAATGAATATCCTAGTCAGGATATAAGACACAATATTTCGTTGTAAAAACGAATAAGGGAAAACGACGACGTTATGGGAAAAAAATTGACCTTACGATTAGAAAGAGCTCGAAAAACCACGTCGGATTCTGTTGTGTTTGATTAAAAGTCTGTCAAATACCCGGCAACTATAGTTTCAAACAAAACTTTTGAACAAACAATCGAATTTATATCCCCATCAGAAAAGAGGCGGTTAACTTTTTATTGCTCACCGACTGTCTTGTTCTATTTTTTCTTTCTCGATAAACGTATATATTGAAACACACATTTCGTACTGATGCGTAGCCGATATACAAGCATATCAAAATTTGATGTTTTTTTTCTAGACAAAAGGCCTTCAGGATTTTTACGTATTCGGAATCAGCGCAATCAGTTGTGTTGTACAGCGTAAAGATCTCATCGGGGGTACCTGCATTTTTTGGACCCGGACTCGCCACTGTGGGTTTTCACAGTATCTCACACCATATTCAACAGTAGATATCAAAGATGTCATTTTTCTCTGCTTTGATGTTTTTTGCTTTTTATGTACACTGTAGAGTGAGATATAAAGTAAGAAACGGAGAAAAGAAAAAAATTTTGTGTTTTATCGAAAAGAGGATTTCACTCACTATGAAATTAGTGTATAATCTGGCTACTTCCCAGATTAAGAAGTTAAGAATGCTGAAGGTACCTTACCCTTCTCCAGTTTTTTTGACAGTTTGAAGTACAGAAGCTGTACCCTATACCAAGCAATTTTTTTAAAACAGGTACCGCCTGGTTTTTGAGTTATAAGACTGCCAATATCCCAGATGATCGTATGAAAAAGCCAGATGAGTTTTCAGAGAACTTCTGAATCCTCCCTTTTTACTTATAGGAGGGTTGCTGGATCCTATGTACAACAGTATATCTCCACTGCTATGCACTTGTTTTTTTTACGACTGGAAAACGTTATTGAACTTGAACTTTATTTGATGTGTAGGAAATAATCTTTCAGAA